ATTTTCTAATGATATGTCATTTTCATCCACAACGCCAGGCACTGAGTAGAATCTTTCAATCTGGAAAAACACTCCTCCTTTTTCTCTTTCAAGAACTCCTTTTATTCAGATATGTACCTCCTGCACTAGTCCTATAATTTCCTTCTTTTTTCTCTCATTTTTCCTGATTCTATACTTTCTTGGTCACCTTTCTGGGAGATTTTGTCAACATTTTCTTCAAACCCTCAAACAGATTTTTAAATTTTGCTTTCATGTTTTCATTTTATAAAAGCTGGGTTTTTTTTTTTTTCCCTAAATCATGATTTTTATAATATGTCATTCATAATGTATATATGTTATACCTTCTCTTAACTCTGAAAATTGAGATTTTTAAATTTTCTTTTGGTTTTCTTCTTCTACATAGTTGGCTGTGTTCATCTGTTTGCTTGTTCATTTAGTATTAGCTTTTTCTTTTATGTCAGAGATTTTCCTCAGATATTTGGTGATCTTTCATTGTTTACTCATGTTTAAGAGAGGTTAAATAGAATTTCTAAGGGCTGAGATGTCAAAGGCAGCCTTTAATAGACAACCCCCTGATTTCTGCACCTTTTACTTTGTCTTAAGCTGGTCACATTACCCAGAGAAAGATTGTTCAAACTCCTTACTAGATGGTTTGAGTTTGGCTGCTAGCATTTGAAAGATGAATTAGGGATGAGATTGGTGGGACAGGGCTAGGGGAGGGGTAATGGTATTATGTGCATAGAGCCTCCATGTCATAAAACCATGCAATTTATCATCTCCAAAGGATAAACTTTGAGTCTTCTGTAAGGGTGGTAGAATATGGAAGGGATCCAGGGATATAACTATTAAATCAGCCAATCCTCTATTTCTCTTGGCACCATTTTTATCCCACCCTCCATAGGCTTTCAGTGGCACTAATTCCCAAGTCTTTGGGAGAATACTGCAGTATAAACCAAAGGGCATCTCAATTTTCACCCCTTGACCATCAGGTCAAGATGCATCTGAGAAAATTACTACTCAACTGTTTTCTAGCTTGTAAAATTTTGTTGCTGTCTTTATCTTGTCAATTATGGGCTTAAAAACAAAAAAACAAACTCACTGCCATTAAGTTGATTCCGACTCATAGTGACCCCCGTTGTGTTTCTGAGGCAGTAAATATATATGGAAGTAGATCACCCCATCTTCCCTCCATGGAGCAGCTGGTATGTTTGAACCACCAACCTTCTGGTTAGCAGTCAAATGCCTTGGCACTATACCACCAGAGCTCCTAATTATGGGCTTATGTCTTTTATTTATTTGTTTGCTTGTTTTCAATTCTCTTACTGTCATTTTAATAGTGGTTTAGAAAAGAGTAAAAGTAAACTTGAGTGTTAAATCCACTATCTTTACCAGGAAGATCCAGAACACTTTTTTGGAAAGTTCTTATAAGATCTTCCAAACTGCGTAGGTGATTTGCCTCCCCTTCCCATCCTGTGTGTCCCTGCTAATGACATCCAATCAGCAGAAAAGACTGAGAATGTATTCAAGTGTCTCACTCTAACACACGAAAACATTCTTACATCACATGGATTTTAAAGAAGGAACTTCTTTAAATGTTTTAAAGAAGTTCCTTCTTTAAAATCTAGTGAAACACCTCAGATTTCAACGAGCAGATACTTTTGTTGTTATATTTCCTTTCTGTTCATTATTTGAAAAACTTTAAAGATATCCACCTTGATTCAAAAGTTTCTTTTTAAGAAACCACTTCAGTTTCCAGTCAAAACATTTTTTAAAAATAGACTATTTAAGTTTGGTCTGGTGTTTAGTGGCATATTCAAGTTTAAGGTATTATTTTGTATAAAGTGTTTGCTCATGCAAAATGTCCTCTGCCTTTTTACCAGATTTTGTTGACCTTCAAAAAAGGACTAGATTGTGGCTTATTTTATAAACTCATCCCTTATGACCCCAAAAAACATCACCAAAGTGTCATCCAATTGATCCTCTACTTTTATAAGAAGCTAACATTTGATTCATTTGTTAAGTATCATGCACCGCTTTGTGATAGCTCTTCCATTAACTTTTTTTATTATTATTACTTAAATTTCCAGGAACTGACATCTAGTCTCTCTTCCTTGACAGTGAGGACATTTTGGTGATTCAGAGGTAGAATTCTGATTTTTGATTGTGTGACTCATAACAAATTATGGATAGCATTGAGAAGAATGGGAATTCTAGGACACTTGATTGTGCTCATCAGGAACCGGTACATACACCAGGAGGCTTTTTTTTTTTTTTTTTTTTTTTAATTGTGATTCGGCTCAAAGTTTACAGAGCAAATTCACTTTCCATACAGCAATTCACATACACTTTGTGTCATGACATTGACTACAATTTACCACAATGCAACACCTCCCCTCCTGCTTCCTCCCCATAGTTTTACCTCTTCCCTGTGTCCTTCCTTCCATGCACTCCTGTCCCCTTAGCAGTCTCCCTGTGCATACACAGCCCTTCCATTCTCCCATGATTGTTCTCTCCAAGGAGTGTATCTACCTAATGTAAATGTTCACCTCATATGGCTGTCTTTTGTTTGGCTGGAGGCCACAGGAATGGGTTCAATTCCAAATTTGAAGGGCAGCTAGGGGCCATAGCCTCAGTGATTCTATCAGGCTCTATCAGACCAGCAAACATGGTCCCTTTTTTTTTTTTTAATGATTTTGAGTTTTGTTCCATATTGCTCTCCCACTCTATCCAGGATCTCCTACATAGATCCCCCTCTGAGGGGTTGACAGTGGTAGCTGGGCACCATCTAGTTCTTCTGGTCTCATAGTCATACAGGCTGAGGATCACATGGTGTACTAGTCACTTGGAATAATTATTTCCATTGGTTTTCTTCATTCTTTCTTTGCTCTGGATGAGGAGAGACCCATCAGTGCATCTAGATGGCTGCTTGCAAACTTTTAAGATCCCAGTTGCTACTTGCTAAAGTAGGATGTGAAACAATGTTTTGTGTAGTATGTTATGCCAATTTAGCTTGATGTTCCTTGTGACTATGGTCCCAAACCTACAGGTCCAACTACTCTCTCCCTCTGGGTAGCTGGCTGTGGCCAAGAAGTAACTACAACCCTGTTCCTTGTCAGCTCTACTATATACTTGGAAATTTTTACAGAACATACGAGTACACTTATAGAAACATTGTCTGTCAACCCTATACATGGTCTTGGGCATACTTTCCCCTCATTGACATACCTAATAGTTCAGCCTGTCCACCCATCTATCTACCCACATACCCATGTTTGCCTTCAATGACAATGTAATACTGTATGTGGAAAAGGGTTCATCTCTGTTGTTTGTACCTCCCATGCACCTCTCTATGTCTTCCTCTTCCAGGAGGCTGTTGTTTGAACAGAACAAGTTCACTGCATAGTTTAAAATCAGGAAGGCAGTGTGTCAGGGTTGTATCCTTTCACCATACTTATTCAATCTGTATGCTGAACAAATAATCCAAGAAGCTGGACTACATGAAGAAGAACATGGCATCAGGATTGGAGGAAGACTGATTAACAACCTGCGATAGGCAGATGACACAACTTTGCTTGCTGAAAGTGAGGATGACTTGAAGCACTTACTGATGAAGATTAAAGACTTCAGTCTACAGTATGGATTACATCTCAACATAAAGAAAATTAAAATACTCACAACTGGACCAATAAGTAGCATCACAATAAATGGAGAAAAGATTAAAGCTGTTAAAGATTTCATATTACTTGGTTCTATAATCAATACCAATGGAAGCATTAATCAAGACATCAGATGACATATTGCTCTGGGCAAATCTGCTGCAAAAAACCTCTTTCAAATGCTGAAGAGCAAAGATGTCTCCTTGAAGACTAAAGTGTACTTATTCCAAGCCATGGTATTTTCAATCACCTCATATGCATGTGAGAATTGAACAATGAACAAAGAAGGCCAAAGAAGAGTTGATGATTTTGACTTGCGATATTGGTGAAGAATACTGAAAGTACCATGGGCTTTCAAAAGAACAAACAAATCTGTCCTAGAAGAAGTGCAGCTTGAATGCTCCTTGGAAGCGAGAATGACCAGACTTCATCTCACCTACTTTGGTCATGTGGTCAGAAGGGACCATTTCCTAGAGAAGGATATTGGTAAAATGGAGGGTCAGCGAAGAAGGGGAGGTCCCTCAATAGATGGCTTGACACAGTGGCTGCAATGATGGGCCCAGGTATATCAAGGAGTATGAGGCTGTCACAGGACTGGGCAGTGTTTCTTTCTGTTGTACACAGGGTCACTACAAGTTGGAGCCAACTCAATGGCAACTAACAACAACAACATGTGGGAGACCAAGGTTTGATTTCCAACCAATGTACTTCATGTGCAGCCACCACCCATCTGTCAGCAGAGGCTTTCATGTTGCTATGATGCTGAATAGGTTTCAGTGGAACTTCCAGACTAAGACAGCGTAGGAAGAAAGGCCTGGAAATCTACTTCTGAAAATCAGTGAAAACTCTATGGATCACAATGGTTCAGTCCACAATGGATCATGGGGATGCACAGGGCAACCTTTTGTTCCACTGTGCATGAGGTCACCATGTGTCAAGGATGAACTCTACAGCAGCTAACAACAATAGCAATAGCAACAACACTGATGGTTAAATCCTTGCAGACAAAGACCGTATTTATCCTTCCCTTAGCACTACATAAGGAACATTCAATAGGTACTTGTTCATTCATTTGACAAATATTTATTAAGTATCTACTCTGTATCAAGTACCATGCTGGGTGCACTGCTATGAACAAAGCCACCCATGTTGCTTACATCCTAATGGGGACTTGGAGTCTAGTGTTGTTTAAGACCTCCTTTCGAGGCCTAAGTATATAATAAAGAGCAAAGAAATGAACATTAATAAATAAAATACATCAAAAAGAAAACTGTAAAACACATTTCCAAATGCATATTTAGTCACTGAGCATAAGTAAGACTTAGTAATAATTAATTTACTCACCTCCATCTTTCTTTTTAGCAATAATTCTGTTTTTCAGCCATTCTTTGGTTTCTTCTTTGACATCCTGGGCAAGTTCTATGACTACTAAAGGCGTGAAAGAAGCCTCATAAGTATCCAAAGCTGATAAGGTAACTTTCATCTTTGACAAACTTTCTGAAAATTAAAATAAAAGGCAAAAGTGGGTTACTATGGAAAAGAGAAACGTGTTATAGACGGTGCTTATATTTTCTCTAAATTACATCTAATTCTGGCTTCAAAGATAAAGAAAAACTCCTCATTATGCAGATGGGTAATAAGACTAAACAGGCTCAACCAACGCTCAAAGCACACAGGACAGCCAGGTCCTTACAAAGATGAATAGAACACCTTTTTTTTTTTTTTTTTTTTTTCCCATAAGACGCTCAGAAGACAGCAGGGGAAACATTTGGCAAATGAAAGAGTAACAGTGTAAAATGTGCTCTCACACAAAGGGAGAAACAAAGTATTTACAAAGGATGTAACACCTGAACAGATTTAGAAGAATGAATATGTAGACAATGGAAGATATTTAAGTAAAGGAAATAATATTTCTCTACAAAATAAAGGTGAAAAAATAGCCAACAGTTTCAGGGAAATATAAATGGTTAGGTATGGCTTAAGCACTAACCAAGTGGGATGAGCTGGTGTCTAACCAGAGTCCCTGATTACAAAGAAATTAGTTTTGTCCTATGTATAACAAAAGTCACCAATTATGAGCAGGGAGGAGTTGATGGAGATTTCATGTTGGAGTACACAGCTATAGAGATCACAAAGGGTCAGCATGGAGTACTGGGGACCATAGGGAGCTATTACAATAGTCTAGAAAGAATCTGAACAGGGGCAGTGGCGGGGTGAGGAGAGACTGGAGGTAAAATCAATAAAAGCTAACAACAACTAGACTGCATGTGAAGACTACGAAAAATAGAAAATGTTAGTGAGTTATCAGTGGTCAAGTTTCAATTATGTAGACTCTTTACAGCACCCATACCTAGAGAGAACTACCACATATATCTCCCTCAAAACTACATATTCTAAAAGTGCCACATTAAGAACACAAATTAAGACTCTATTTTCAGGAGAGATTAAGGAGTTCAAACAAACCCTCCTGCTGAAGACAACTAGACTATACTTATATATATTTATAGATGCACACCCATATATATAATTAAAATAATAATAATAATATCTGTCTGTGGGTATCAGAACCAACAATGCAGTGGAGAATCAGGAAGCCCATCTGCAGAAGAAATACAAGAGGGAAGGTCAGCACTTGCAGTTTCCCCAGAGCCTGCCTCTGCCCATATAGGAAGATCTGAGAGGGTGAGGAGCTAAGCAGTGCCTCTGTTGGTCATAAGGGACTAGAGGACAAAAAGGAAAGAAAAGGATCAGGTAAAATCCCCCACACTTTGCTATAAGTCCTAAAGGTAAGAGTGAACCAAAAGACCAGCCATGGTGGGAACTAAAGTCTAGGTCCTCGGCATTTCAATCCCTGAAATTCGATTTTTACACTCCCATATTGCTAGTGCTCTAGCTGCCTTACAAAGCAAACATAAATCCTCTTTAGGAGAAGATGCCACATTTCTGTGCCTCAAAATAAAAGTTTTTATACACAAAGAAAAAAAATGTAACCAAGAACATACACAAAGTAATATGAATGAAAATGAAGAGAAACAGCAAACAACAGAAACAAACACACAAAAGATCCAATAACACAGTTAGCTGAACAGACATTAAAATAACTATATAATCAAGGAACTAAAAGACACAATTAAGAATTTTAGCATAGAACTGAAAACAATTTTTAAAAATAGGAAGTCTAGAATTTAAAAATATAAGTCAAAATTAAAAACCCAAGGGAGACTTTAACAGAAAATGAGACAAAGTTAAAGAGAAAAATCAATGAATTACAAAGTAGATCTGAAGAAAATAGCAAGAACGAAGCTCTGAACGCGAAAAGAGAAGAATATACAGAAAAGAAAGAGAGAACAAGATACAAGGATTCTCAAAAGTAGGGACAGGAGAGATTGAGCAAAATCAATATATCATTCACACAACTGAATGCCTTTGCATAGTCAATAAAACACAGGTAAATATATCTCTGGTATTTTCTGCTTTTAGCCAAACTCCATCTGGCATCGGTAAACTATGGATAATATTGAGAAGAATAGGAATTCCAGAAAACTTAATTGTGCTCATGAGGAACCTGCAGATAGACTAAGAGCCAGTCATTCAAACAGAACAAAGGAATACTAATAGTTTAAAATCACAAAAAGTGTGTCAAGGTTGTATATTTTCACCATACTTGTTCAATCTATATACTGAGCATATAATCTGAGAAGCTGGACTATATGAAGAATGCAGTAGCAGGATTAGAGGAAGATTCATTAACAACCTGTGATAATGCAGATGACACAACCTTACTTGCTGAAAGTGAAGACAGCTTAAATTAGCACTTATTGATGAAGGTCAAAGGCAACAGTCTAAAGTATGATTACACCTCAACATAAAGAAAACACAAATCCTCACAACTGGACCAATAAGCAACATCATGATAAATGGAGAAAAGACTGAAGTTGTCAAGGATTTCATTTTACTTGGATCTACAATCAATGCCCATGGTAGAAGCAGTCAAGAAATCAAACAATGTATTGCATTGGGCAAATCTGCCACAAAAGACCTCTTTAAAGTGTTAAAGAGCAAAGATATCACTTTGAAGACTAAGGCACACCTGATCCAAGCCCTGGTGTTTTCAATCACCTCATGTGCATATGAAAGCTGGACAATGAATAAGGAAGACTACAGAAAAGCTGATGCATTTGAATTATGCTGCTGGCGAAGAATACTGAATATACCGTGTACTGCCAGAAGAATGAGCAAGTCTGTTGTGGAAGAAGTACAGTCAGAATGCTCCTTAGAAGTGATGATGGTGAGACCATCTATGATGTACTTTGGACATATTATCAGGAGGGACCAGTCCCTGAAGAAGGATATCATTCTTGGTAAAACAGAGGATCAGCAAGAAAAAGGAAGACCCTTAATGAGATGGAATGACACAGTGGCTGCAACAATAAGCTCAAACATAGTAATGATTGTGAGGATGGCACAGGACCTGGCAGTGTTTTGCTCTGGTGCCACTATGAGTCAGAACTGACTTGACGACCACTCCTCGGAAGGAAGGTTGGGCAATCTACTTCCATAGTGATACTGTCTCAGAAACCCAAGGAGGGGTCGCTATGAGTAGGGTCCGACTCAACAGCACATAACAATAACAACAACAATAACATAGTTGGAATGGAGTCCCTGGGTGGTACAAACAGTCAAAACTCTGGTAACTGAACAGTTGGAAGGTGGAAACCACTCAGACACACCTAAGAAGAAAGGCTTAGTGATCTACTAAAAAATCAGCCACTGAAAATCCTACAAAGCAGGGTCATATTCTGACACACCTGGGAACACCCAGAGTCAGGGTGGACTTAACAGCAACTGGTGTGTGTGTGTGCGTGTATGTGTGTGTGTGAAGAATATTGACTAGCCCATTTTTGCTGTTAAATATATGAGTGATTCACTTAAAACCACAGAAAATAAATCACCTCACTGATTTAAATTCACAATTATCACTGACTCTTTTCTTGGCCTCCAGCACACTTTATCATCTTGATTCGCTCCCTATCTCTGTAAACACCTTTCTCCTTTTCGAGGTCCTTTCAACACCATCTGTGAAGTTTGTTCAAGATGCAATCCCTAGATCCTTGCCTTCTTCTTAGATAATCTCTCCTACTATACCTCTTTCTCGTAACTTCAAATATGAACCTCTGCAATGATGTCTTTACCATCTGCATCTTTAGTTACGTCTTCTGAGTTGCACTTCATCAGGAGTTTTCAACACTTCAGTCTGAATATACCCAAAACTAAACCCATTAATTTCTCCCTAACATCAACTTCCCTTCCCAGTTTCTTTAACTTTCTCAAGGATACCATCTTTATCTTTTCACCAAGCTTGAAAAATACTGTGGCCAACTTGGAGACCTACAAAAGGCAGAGAATGGCCTCACTCTAAAACATTTCTCATGTGAATCTCTAACCCAGTGGTTCACAATCTGGAGCAATTTTCAGACTTTGGATTTGTTTACTCTAACTTTGTCCTTGATATAAGTTTTCATGACTCCAAAGTACAAGTGCAAATCAATGCATGGAATAATCACAAAGGAGTGACGAACACTGTATAACACCTTTCCTTTCGTCGGGCGAAATCACAATCTTGCAGCTATGTAATCAAGCAGATCCAGGTTGTCTGGCTTGCACTAAAGCAGCACTGTTTCTCTCTAATAGAGCATATGTTTTGTTGGGGCAACAGAGACATTATATATAAGTTAATGCTGGTTTCAAATTACCCTACAAATACATCAGGAATGCTATTTAAAGATACTGGCCAACAGGAGTCATTACAGTAGGCTGTATGAAGGAAAGGAGATCAAGATAGGTTCTAGTACATACTTCCAAATAGCTAATAACATGGTCAGAAATTATACAGAATAAGAAGATGATCCAAAACCAAACCAAACCTACTGCTGTTGAGTTGATTCCAACTCATAGCAGAACTGCCCTACAGGGTTTATAAGACTTCAAGCATTATGGAAACAGACTGCCACATTTTTCTCCCACAGAGCAGCCAGTGGGTTCGGACATCTGACCTTTCATTTAGCAGTTAACCACTTGAATAACTGCATCACAAGGGCTTTCTGAGAGGAGGATAACAGATAGCAGTTAGACCCCCTCAGAACACTTAATGCTTTGCATCAAGCAAAAGGAGAAGCATGTTCCACACAGGGAAACAACATATGTAAAATCAAGGGAGCAAGAACAAAGAATGGAGAAAAATACTAAGAAGTCTGGCTGACCAGAGCAAAGCAGTTACATTTTGTAAGCTGTCGCCATTTAAGGATAACTAATGCTCTAATTTACATCTGACCTGATGGCCACTAAGTAGGTTTCTGAGCAGAGGATTGGCAACATGTCAAATATGCATGTTCTTCCTGGTATTCTTTCAACTTTCCTAAATGTCTGAAATTTTTCATAATAAAAAGTCGGGGAAATGTTACTATACCAGCAGAATACAGAGGC